GTGTTGATGCTTGGACGCCACCATCAGGCCTTTGCCGAGTGTGTTTCTCGGTCCACTGGCGGCCCGTTGTCCCTGGCCGAGTCCCAGCTGCCTGTGTTTCACAGTCTGTCCACGCAGCTGAAGGAGGTGCAGGCCATGATCCACAAGCTGGAACTCCAAGTGCTGGACCAGGACCGCATTCTCAAGGAGCGCGCTGAGCTGGCTTGCAAGCAGGAGCACCACCTGGAGGCCAAGGTAGGGTGACATGCACCAATCATTTCTGTTTGCCAGCCACCCTTGTGGGCCCGCGGACCTGCTGCGAATGTCCAAAGAATGTTCTATTGACCAGCAAGATTGATACTGTGGTGCATAGATAGATAAAAGAGAAAGGCTCTATATGTCATTTGTCAGAAATCACAAGGTTCAAATATTTAATTTTTTTAAACTACCATACTCCAAATCATTCAAAATCCCCCTCTCCCTCTCCATACACGTGATTAAAAAAAACTGAAAATAAAGAGAAGAATTAATATATCAAGATGAAAAGGAAAGTACATCAAAGAGCATCCAATATGCATGAATTTTTATCAAATGCATGATTCACTACTTTTCTTAGATGCAAAAAGAAAAGAAAATATCAATACTGTCCTATAATAATCACAGCACATGGCAATTACTGAGTGCAAATTATTGCCCAAGGTGGACCAGCAAAGTTTTATAGATATTTTTGGCAGACTCATGAAAGTTACCATAAAAGAAAAGGTTTCAAAATGTCAGCTCTCAAAATGTTGGCCAGTCTCTTATCTTGCTGATTGTGTATGCCGGATATACACTGAAAGTTTGTTACAAACAATCTCATTTCAACACATGTTGGCTTTACAATTTTTTCCCCTTGGTCCTGTTTGTTTCCAATACACATGCTGTTATACAGATCTAGTTTCAACCAACTAATTTTAGTCTTTAATGTAAAAAGGTCATTATTCTGTGCATATAGGCCCCAGGGATTATTCAATAAATGACTGGAAACTTTAAAAAAACAGCATTAGCATTTCATGGCAGAAGAGAACTTTCTGCTGAGAAAACATAGTGCTAAAAAAATAAACAACATGACATATATCTTGGAAATTATTTATCTCCATTAGAGGATGTGTGCCTGTCTTTTGAATATACCGTGTGTTGGAAAAATGTTCCCCTATTTGAAAGAGCAGAAAGTTATCAGTGAAGAAGTGGATTCAGAAGGGAGTACAGTAATTCTTTACCCCATTTAATTTTTCAAGTTTCAGTTTTCAAGACCAGCAACACTTTAGTACAAAGGCTGGTTTAATGAAAGAAACATACTCATTTTTATCAAGAGTTCCTCTTCATTTCATCAGGAACACTGATCAATTATTATGATTGGTTTCTATTTATCTGTTTAGGAAGCACTTGAAAGTATTCATTGCCCAATTTCCTTAAGAATGTCAGCATTAGACGTATTTAAAAAACCAGGAATCTTATTGATGGAACATTTTTTTTTCTGAGGGATGTTTGTTGTAATTGCAACATGCAAAAAACAAAAAACAGGTTAGGGAGCTGGAGTCCAAGCAAGACTCCACTCAGGCCATTGGAGAGGCAGCCCGCGCCCTGGAGTCTGTGACAGGCAAGATGCAGACTCGGCTGGCTGAGGTGCAGCAGATGCGCCAGGACCTGGCCCAGGCTGAGGACCACATGCGTCAGTTGAAGTCTGAGAACCAGCAGATGAAGGCCTGCATTGAGTGCATGAAGACCAAGATGCTGGAGGTGGAGGAGTGTGGGGCCAAGACTGCCCAGGGCTGGAAGAAGGAGTGTGATCAGCTCAAGGCTGATGTCTGCAGTCTGCGCAGTGCAGCTGAGGACCTGTGTGCCCAACTGCACAAGGTGGGTGGACACAATGCCTCCTTATTTTATTTTTATTTTTGGTCACTGTTTCAATTAAAAAGGCAGCTCGATTTTTCATCCTGCAATTTGACAGTCAAATTTGCTGGAATTTCAAATTTCGATTGAACCTCTGCCTTGCAATTCAACCTGCACTGAGATGGAAAATGTCAAATTTGTTGTAGAAAACATTAATTTTTGACATTGTCTCACAATTTGACTTTTTTGACATTCGACCATAACACAGGATTGTATTAGGATGAAATTGCAAGGTACCACCGGTATTTCTACCAGATGTAATTTTCTTTACTTTATTTTCAAGGAATATGTCAGTTGAGCCCAAAGACAATCTTTGTGCGATGGAAATACTGTACCATTAATTTAATAGTTCATCATGGTTTCATCAGAAATACCCATTAACTATGATGTATCTTGACTGATTTGTTTTGGAAGAACTGATTTGCAGCACTTATTGTCCATTTCCCACTATTTCAGTCTAAAATCAGTTTTAAAAAAGGTTAACCTTGATACTGTACAACATTTTTCTCTAATAAACATTTTATAAGGTTCCCTGGGAGTCTTCTGCAATGAGACTTTAATTTGGATTATCCTGTATTTTTCAAAGATGTGATGCTATAAGGTGGTTCAAATTGTTGGATATTGTTGTCTAATGGTTTCCTACAAACCTTTCTATGCAGTCATTTCACCACGTACTGTAGTGACTGTATATTGTACTGATCTTTTGGAGTCAGGGTTTTGATTTTTTCTGCAATATTAAGTCACAGTTGCTAAACTCATCCTTCATTATATGTCTGCAATATCTTGGGTGTCAATAACTGTGGTGGCAGAAAACCTTTGGATGGCTTTGGCCGCTTTACTCTGTTAATTTCAGTTCATCTTCATGAAAATATTGCAATGATATTCTGTAAATGACTCAAATTTCTCAATTTTTGTCTGTAACTTAGCCTTTCAATGGAATATATACTAGGAGCCATCATGATGAAATCGAATAAATGCGTGTTGCACTAAACACCCAGCAGGGACCGAGGACATAATTTTAATTTGACTACTGCGCAGTGCATTCAGCAATCAATCATTTTATGTTTTTTTTTTTTATCTGCAGGCAAACCAGAAGTGCACAAAGCTGGAAAGTGTACATTCGCGTCTACGTGACACCTGCATTGACACGTCGTCATCCTCANAATTTTTGTCTGTAACTTAGCCTTTCAATGGAATATATACTAGGAGCCATCATGATGAAATCGAATAAATGCGTGTTGCACTAAACACCCAGCAGGGACCGAGGACATAATTTTAATTTGACTACTGCGCAGTGCATTCAGCAATCAATCATTTTATGTTTTTTTTTTTAATCTGCAGGCAAACCAGAAGTGCACAAAGCTGGAAAGTGTACATTCGCGTCTACGTGACACCTGCATTGACACGTCGTCATCCTCACCATCCATGTCTGACAATGAACACGGCAACGTTAGTTTTGACACAAATTTTATTTATTTTTTTACTTCGGCAAGATATCAGATCCTCATGATGCATATTCAATATTTTATTCTAGCGCAAAGAGGAGACGGCTGCTGGTGCCATCAGTGAAAGGTATTTACAACTCTTCTCCGTATTTGATTGTTGTCGCCATTTTCTGGCATCTATAAAAATATATTTCTGCACATTTTTTAATGAACTTCATAATCATCTGCCACCATTTGTTTTCGAGGTTTGTGGCACTTGAAGGGAATAGTTGGTTTAAATCTGGCTAGTGGTTCATCAAAAAAGCTAAAATAATACAGTGCAGTAATAAAATCAGATGCATAAATTATATCTAGCTAATATTCCAAAGAAGTAGATTACGTCATCTTATTGACAGGATACTGATGACTAAAGAATTTAGCAGGAGCCTACTTGAGTTGTCAATGATTTTGGCAGATGGCACTTTAATTTGGATGCCCATGCCATTATCTTTATAGGGAGGAGTTATTTTTCAAATGAATTGTTGGTTGTGAAATTAAGGGTTTATATTTTTTGGTGGCCTCTAAAGAGAATTCCACTGATGAGCTTTTTATCCCACTTTTCAGCTTTCAAAATAAGGTTCAATGAAAACATTCTCGAATTTTGGAGATGACCTTTTCAATCCAATTGTGAAAATCTAAAATCTTTTAAAAGTTCAATTCTGATGATGTGTAATGCTGGGCATGAGAAAAGGACTTCTGGACACCGCAGTAGCCAATACAAGCACATTGCTCTAATTACACTTGATTTTCTTAAAGAAAAATCTTCAATGAAGGCTGTGAATCGGCAATTTGAGACTGCAAATGTGACTGTGATAGGTTGTAATTCCATATATATATTTGGTATGTGGATTCAAGGAAAAAAATTCAAAATTCATCTGAACACCTTCTTTCAAAATTGTCTGCCTGGTTAGAAACAATGGAGGGGGGGGGGTTGATGAAAAAAATGAACCCAGCCAACCTCATGTTGAAAGGGGTCCAGGGCTCATTTGGAATTTAAAGCCTTGAATACCCTATTGATACTTAACATCTGTAAGCTTTTTCTGCAACATCCACCTTAGCAAATCTGTGCAGCATCACAAAAAGTGCTGGTGTTCACCCATTATTCAGAATAAATGATTACTGTTGACATGCAAATTTCTTTTTGAAGATCACTGTATTTCAAACAAGAAAAGACATCTGAAAAGGTCGCAAATGGAAGATGTTGAATAGATGCCAGTTTAATTTGAATCAGTCTTTCCAGTCAAAAATTTTGAAAATCTTATAATAAATTGTTCATTATGAAAAACTTTTCCTGAAGTCCCCGAAAGTTAGTTATAAATTGTAATGAGATTTTACTGTCATGCCATTTTCATGTACTGATACATCATTGTACATGGGAACTTGTTTCTCATTCGGAAAGCAGTCTAGCAGCAACATCCAGCAGGAAAGCAGCACAAATTGAAAACTTAGTTGCACCTGATGTGACGAAGAGGATCAACAGAGTGAGAAACTGGGATTATTTTCCTCCAGTATATTTGTACTATAAATGTCAATGTGCTTTTTTGTACAGAAGCGCAAGTACAAGATGGACTTTGATCAGTTGGCTAAAAAGCTGACTACAACAAATTCCAGGAGTACTGCTGAACGACATCATGACTGGCCTTTTGGCTGGGAAAGTGAGCTGTGAAAAAAGTACATTGTTTACCTTTTTGTAGGCTAGATTGTGTTCCCCAACCCTATATGGACTGCAGACTGGAAAATTTTAGCAATTTTTTCCAAGACTGGTAAACTTTCCACAAATTTTCTGCAGACCAGCAATGTTTCATAAAATTTTAGACTCAAAAAGTGTTTGCTTGAAAGACATTTAAGAAGTTCCCTCTTTTTTGCACAAATTAAGAACTGAAAAAGCTGTACTGTACTGTAATCTACTGTATTGTAGAATGTATTTGAAAATTAGAAAGGTGGGCTTGAAGAAAGGTTTCTCAGAATGAAAAAAATTGGTTACTTTCCTGTTATCTCAGTACCTATTTTCCTGTTATCTCAGTACCTACTTTCCTGTTATCTCTGTACCTTCCCTCTGACCAATCTAACCTGACCTACCCTAACTTCACCTAACTGCCTCCCAAAATCAGTTTCTGCTTTCTTTGGGTTTCTGCTAAAACTGATTTTGGGAGGCGTTTAGGTGAAGTTAGGTTACATAGTTAGTTAGGTTAGTTAACTTAACAAACTTAAGTGAGTTGAGTTAGTCAAGTTAGTTAAGTTAAGTGACAAATATATTTTACGTAACATAATCTGACCTAACCTAACTTTACCTAACTGCCTCCCAAACTCAGTTTCAGCAGAATGGGGAAAAATAAAATTCAGTTTCTGGCAGGTCGTTGTGATTATGAACTTCTCCTAAAGATTTGTCTGGATGGTAGTGTGGTCTTGCAGAGTAGGTACTGAGATAACAGGAAAGTACCAAAAATTGTAATAATTATTTCATTGGATAAAAATTTGTTTGAAGAGCTATTAGGAGGAAAGCCCACTTTTATTTTCTCATTGGATAATTTTACCAGCAATTTTCTCTCCAAAGTTCCAGATGAAGAGAATGGACTCCATTGCTAATTTTGATAAATTCACCATGCTGCATAAAATTGTCTGCAGACCATAAGTTGGGGAACATGGCTGGACTTTGCAATATGTTTCTTCGATCTGTATCTCATTCCCTCATTTGGCTTTTTCAGTGTACATGTCGCTGTGAGGGGCAAGGTGTCCTTGCACTCCAGTAACCCATGCAAGTTTCAGGTTTGAATGTGGATACAATGTGCAATTATAATGACTAACAATAGATGTGGGATGCATGCAAGGGAAACAGGAACATGGACTGTGCATGACAACTCATTCAGCAGCAGCAAATTGAAAGGGCATCCTCATCTTGATGACATGTCACATTCAGTTATGAATGATGCCTGCTTCGTTCAAACACCCCACCCGGATATGTTTCATAGGCATGTATAGATGTTTTACAATTTACAGTATAATTGCTGTTGAATCAGGTCTGCTGGCTCTGAAGTATGCACTTGCAAGGTGTTATATTTTATTTGTCGGTTGCTCCTAAACATAAACTTCATGTACTTTATTTTTTCAAATACCACATACACTCAAGTAAGACACAAAGCATGATACAGAATTGTGCAGTGTGATTTGAGATAGTGTATCCCTGAATAAAGGGGGAAATCCACTTTTTGGTCACCAGTAAGCTCTACAGCATTAAAATCCACAAATATATGTTGTAATCCATGATTCAGATAGCAGTAGAATTTGCTTGAAACATATTTCTTTATTCATCTTTTACAGAGATTTTTTTTCTTGGTCTCAAAAGCTTTATCATTGGCAACAATACAGTAATTAAAAATCTTGCCTCAGTGAACTCATTTCTGGCTGGAAGTTCATAACACATTTTTGGCCTGCTTTCTTTGCATGGGCCATGGGGATTATTTGATGAATGTAAGAAAATTAANTCAGTCTTTCCAGTCAAAAATTTTGAAAATCTTATAATAAATTGTTCATTATGAAAAACTTTTCCTGAAGTCCCCGAAAGTTAGTTATAAATTGTAATGAGATTTTACTGTCATGCCATTTTCATGTTTGACTGCATGTACTGATGCATCATTGTACATTGGAGCTTGTTTCTCATTCGGAAAGCAGTCTAGCAGCAACATCCAGCAGGAAAGCAGCACAAATTGAAAACTTAGTTGCACCTGATGTGACAAAGAGGATCAACAGAGTGAGAAACTGGGATTATTTTCCTCCAGTACATTTGTACTATAAATGTCAAGGTGCTTTTTTGTACAGAAGCGCAAGTACAAGATGGACTTTGATCAGTTGGCTAAAAAGCTGACTACAACAAATTCCAGGAGTGCTGCTGAACGACATCATGACTGGCCTTTTGGCTGGGAAAGTGAGCTGTGAAAAAAGTAAAGTGTTTACCTATTGTGTTGGCTAGATTGTGTTCCCCAACCCTATATGGACTGCAGACTGGAAAATTTTATCAATTTTTTCCCAGACTGGTAAATTTTCCACAAATTTTCTGAGGACCAGCAAAGGTTCATGAAATTTTAGACTCAAAAAGTGTTTGCTTGAAAGACATTTAAGAAGTTCCTAGAAAAAACGTGTTTAATTCTTGACTTTTTCGACATGACATGACATTAGATGACATAACATCTTACATAAACTTTTAATCTTTCCACCCGAACTTCTTTCCAAAGAGTCTTACTTTTTTTAACCAATCTTTCCTGTCATCTCTGTACCTTCCCTCTGACCAATCTAACCTGACCTGCCCTAACTTCACCTAACTGCCTCCCAAAATCAGTTTCTGCTTTCTTTGGGTTTCTGCTAAAACTGATTTTGGGAGGCGTTTAGGTAAAGTTAGGTTACATAGTTAGTTAGGTTAGTTAACTTAACTAACTTAAGTGAGTTGAGTTAGTTAAGTTAGTTAAGTTAAGTTGAGTTACAAATATATTTTAAGTAACATAATCTGACCTAACCTAACTTTACCTAACTGCCTCCCAAAAAGTCAAAGTCGTCTTACCCCTTTTTATTTTAAGTCAAAGACCGTCCAGCAACACTAATACTTGAAGAGGATTTCTAAACAGACCTACCATCACACCAGAACGTCTCATCCATGACTCTATTGTCCTTAGTACCAAAAATTGCAACAATTATTTCATCAGATAAAAATTTGTTTGAAGAGCTATTAGAAGAAAAGCCCACTTTTTTTTCTCATTGGCTAATTTTACCAGCAATTTTCTTTCCAAAGTTCCAGATGAAGAGAATGGACTCCATTGCTAATTTTGATAAATTCACCATGCTGCATAAAATTGTCTGCAGACCATAAGTTGGGGAACATGGCTGGAATTTGCAATATGTTTCTTCGACCTGTATCTCATTCCCTCATTTGGCTTTTTCAGTGTACATGTCGCTGTGAGGGGCAAGGTGTCCTTGCACTCCAGTAACCCATGCAAGTTTCAGGTTTGAATGTGGATACAATGTGCAATCATAATGACTGACAATGGATGTGGGATGCATGCAAGGGAAACAGGAACATGGACTGTGCATGACAACTCATTCAGCAGCAGCAAATTGAAAGGGCATCCTCATCTTGATGACATGTCACATTCAGTTATGAATGATGCCTGCTT